ATATTTGGTATGGAACACATAAAAGTATGGTACACATATGATCCCTCTATTGGTGCATGTCATATAATACATATATAATAATAATCGGTATGAATAGGTAAATGGCATCATAGTAAATAATTATAAGCGTCTGAAAAGTAAATATACATAAGGGACAGAGCTCTGAAGCTATATGCGAAAACTGACACGCTACCCTACGTAGCACTATCTAATCTCAGAGTAAGCACTAATCGCACGGGGCAGTACGCAGATCTTAGATCATTCATTGAATAATCACGAAGATTGTGAGAAATACTCAAATTAGTCAGTGAGATGGGTGAGACTCTGCAGAAGCCCCCCAGCCATCATAGAGTAAAATGGCCCAGATGCACGAACTCGGAAAAGGCTCAACATAAGTCAAGCTGAAAATTAAAATACCTTTTATCATTATTATTTTCTAATTGCTAGTTTATTAGAGGAATAATAAGAAGTACTCCAATATATTTTGGTTGAAATATTATTCTTATTATTATTGAGGATGAATAAAATATATATTTAATCTATCACAAATCTGCAACCTCTTAAGCAAAAAAATTTATATTTCGTTTAGAATCGAACAAGTCAATAATTGAGTAACGCATAATGAGCACATGAGGTCCTTTATTTTAGTCAGTGTTATACTTCCACTAACTAACTAACTATGGTATCGTCTGTCGTACATATTTATAAGATTACTAACTATAGATAGCTAACTATATTCATATATAGTAGCTATATAGTTACGTGCACACTTTGTTAATAAATTTAATTTATTAAGATTTATTAAGAAGGTGTGCATTTTTAAAAACAAAAGTGTACAAATCATTTCTGAGTCTTTGGATTGTTACTCGGATTTGGGACTCACTTGTGATATTCAACGAGTCTAAGTTTTAAAAAAGAACTCAAGCTTTTTAGTGAACCTAAAGAAGAATTGTTGTTAATCAGAAATACTAGAAGTAAATAAAGTACAAGTAATTCTCTTCATATTTTAATTTAAATTAAATTAAAGCCTAAGATTTGCCATTTTAAAAAATGGACGATCCGAACACCAACATGGTGTGTTTTGTTTTTTTGGGAAAAAGTTTCTTGAATTTATAACTTAACTTTATTACTTTAAAAGGATCTAGTACTGTAAGTTTTTTTGTAGAAAATATTTCAATGGTACACGTAAGGTCTTAACAAAATATTGATATAAAAATTTGAATAAATTTCTAGGAAAAGTGTCTTTCTTTTTGGTTGCCCTAAATAAATAATCATGTATATTGCATAATTTTACTTCTAGTAAGTTTGTGTGTTTCAAAAAGCATGAGCTATAAGAATTCTTACTAAACCGTAATTGTTATTGATATTGACTTGTGTTCAAATTTAGCTCCAGACACGACCCGACGAATTCTTGTCCTGTAGTCTGAAAATTTTAAGAGACTAGTCTGTGGTAATTAGAAGTAGTTATGAATTTGTGTCAATTATTGTTACGATTTTTGTTAATAATAAAAATCTGTCTGTGGCGAAAAAAACAGTGTTTATGTTTTCTTTAATGGAAAGCAAAAACCTCTTCGCTATTTTAAGAGCTCCTAAAACAAATGTCAAGTAATTAAAAAACGGTTGAAAATAGAAACTTTGACATAAATAGAAATTTGCATTGACGTGGGTAACGCTTTTTAATGATATTCCACTTCTGAATAAAAATAATTTCCTTTCTAGAAGTGGCGTGTTTAGTTACAATTTAGTCATACAATTTAAAAGTCAAAATAAATTATTTTTGAGTTTTATATATTTGGTTCCGAAAAGTTATTTAAAAATCAAAACTGAAGTAAGTATTATAGCACATAGTTAACTACCTGATTAAATTTATTTATATAGCTATGTTTAATTGTAAAATATTTATTTTAAATTACATTAAATGTTTTTCTAAATTAATTAGCATTTATTTTTTGATTGCAACATGAAAGATCTTCCACTTATTACTTTATAGTCTTAGGCATCTTCGGTTGCATTGTTTTAATTCCATTGTTACTTTTTATGTAATTTCGTTGAGTGTCCTTTCATTCGTAAAAATTATAAGAATTAAAAATTGTTGAAGCGTTACAAATTCAATTTAATTAGTTTTTGAAAAAAACTTGAAATTACAATAAGAAAAAATCGAGGCAGAGAGTAGTAAGGATGCGGGGAACGCCTGTTCACTGATTTCAACTCAGTACTCAGTTGTAGTACGATTTAGGGGTACTCAGTTGTAGTTTCACGGCGGTTTTTTCTCCAGCAGTGTTCTGTTAACAAAACTGAAAAAACATCTCTGCGGATTTTTATCTTTTGTATTTTCGCTTTTGGGTGCTTCTATCTTCATTTCATAAATGGAATTTATTTACTTGAAATTAATTATATTGTTTAAGTGGTTTCATTTGTTGCGGCATAAGCTGATTTTCACTTTAATATTTCATTGTTGTGAATATTATAAATATATCTCAGAAGCTACAATGACATATTAAAAACAACTAGCGTAATAGAAAAAATTATTTTCCGAATTATAAAATTCGAAATTTTTAACTTCTTTCAATATTTTGCAAACTTTTAAATTATTTTGCAATTCAGTTTACTTACCAGCCTCCTTGTCTTGTGAGAGTGAAACCAAACCTAGAATCGCGATCCACGGAAACACGTATGCCAACAATCCCTAATCCTTGTGGGGTTATGACCTGTCCGCGCATGACTGAAACTCGGCTATTTTGGTTTTTGAAAAAGTGAAAATTATTGTTAATTATTAATTGTTTTCTTTAAGGATTAAATAGTAAAATTATTATAGTAAAAATGTGTTTTGAAGAATGAATAAAATTTTGAATATATAATTTGCTTGTTCAATAATATAGTTATGTGAACCATAGTACAACTATTATAGTAGAACTATAGTCTTTAACCAAATGCTAGAAATGCTTATCTAATTAAACTAATAAAAAATACATAAAAATTTAAATGATGCACAGCAATCGTAAGAATTAAAAATATAACTATAGTTTCCTTTTAAATGCATTAAAAAAGTAATTATTTAGAAAATGGAAATTTGTAATATGATATTTTTTGTGGGTAGATGATACTGCATATTAGAAATCTATAAAATTTACTAAAAGTTTTAATGAAAATATCTAATATAAAAAGTTTCATATATAATATTATGTAATTTTTTTAATTGCCTCAAAGAATTGTAATTAATTTTTTTATTTAAAAATATTTTGAAATCAAGATTATTTATTTCTAATAATTTTAGGATATTAGATTGCAAAGAAAAGATAAATGTATTATGTACAGGTGAAATACTACCTATTAAAGCTGAAGATATTAATATTAAATTTTGATTTTAGTATTAATGAATCTTTTGATGTTATAAAAATTTTATTCTTAATTTAATTTTGAAAATGCCCGGTATTTTAGCCAATAAAAACGTCCTTAGTGTGTGTATATTATGCAGTTTTTTGTTTGCTGAAACACATAACCTGAACCGGGTGCACTCTTTGACGACCTCGCAGTTATGCGTGTAATAAAGACATCCACTTAAAACCGAAAATATAAGATATGAGCACTTGTTGAAATGCAATAAAAAT